CTGCAGGTTATGTTGTTTGTTGTGTCCTAGCCTCATCACTACTTCGCCGAGGTTAGGCTCGATACTTACTTAGTACATGGGTTCGGTTGTACTGATACTATACTCTGCACTCTTTTGTGCAGATCCCGGTACTGGAGCGTACGGACCTTAGCTAGGGGTTGCTGCCTTCAGTCCACCGAGACCCGAGGTAGTCCTGCAGAAGTCCGCATGCCTTGGCGTCCTCTTCCTAGCTTGTTTCTTTCTGTTCTTTTCTATTTCAGAGACATATATGTATTTATTTTGTTCAGACCCTATTTGTAGTATTCTTAGATAGTCCGTGAGATTGTGACACCAGTTCTGGATGGTTTATGTTTATGGATTCGTATTGGTATTAGCTTAATCGTTAAATTTCGTTCTTCCGCATTATTATTTCCGTTGTTTATAATATGTTAACTTACAATTGTTAAGAGATTAAAAATAAAAAGGGTAAATTAATTGGAATAGTTGGCTTGCCTAGCTTTCACTAGTAGGCGCCATCACGACTCCCGAGGGTGAAAAATTCGGGTCGTGACAAAAGTAGACATATTTTGTTCGGTTTTTACCTAGAAAACCTACTGAAGTCGGTTGAAAATCTCATTTTTTCCCTAGAAATTTAAAATTCCGATCGAATTTGGTCGAAAATTTCAAATGGAATTTTACAAAAAATTATAAAATTATTATATATTTAAAATTCCGACCAATGTCGTTCACTATTTGAAAAATAAATTTTAATTAATACTAAACGATTTCAGTCGGTATATTTATCTTTGTTGTCCGTCAATGCGTTGAAATAACCGATCATTTTCGGTCGGAAAATCGCGACCAATTTTGGTCGCAACACCTTAGCGACCATTATTTTTCCGACTAATTAAAAACAGTCGGAAATCGATCGCTTTTCCCCAAATTCCGACCAATATCGGTCGATTTTCCTGGACGAAATTAGCCAGGTTTTTAGTAGTGTGCAAAAGTTGCTCTTATTGATCATAGTATATAATTTTCCCTTTCCATCTATAATAAAATTCTGCATTTTTCCATTTCTAAGTAAGTTCCACCTCAAATTATGCAAGTTCGCCATCATTTTTTTAATCATTTAAATCGAATTACAAGTATTGGTGTGGGAACTTTAGTATTTTTCTTTTTGTTGGTCAAAACGAACTATTGTATATTAACTAGTAAGACCATTACAGACATAGTGCTATCAAAAGCACTTAAGTTGCCGAGTTGGGCCAAGTATTTATAAATACTAGTCGATCTCATATTTATCTAGCAACATTTGTTCCATCTTATCTTTTACTCATGAATAATAGTAACACAAAGGTGGAACTGGAAGATACATAAATGTATAAAGAAATTGACCCACTTCATAATTTCTTCTTTAATTTTTGTTGAATTGAGCCATGTGATCTGAGTAATTAAGGATTTCTTAGAGAGAAATTGAGTAGAAGAGGAAGAAGAAACTATTTTATTCATCTACCAATTGAAGGCTGATACACAGCTTATATACAGACCTCTCTCAGCTCATACACGTGCACATCACATGACCTTTTAACTAACTCTAAAACTGATTTTAACTAATAACTATGCCAGCTAATCATAGTTAGTGCTAGTGCTAACAGTGCTAAAAGCTAATGTTCTGCACCACTCCATTTCTGCTTCATCACTCCACTTCTCTATATTTCATTACTCCCCCTCAAGCAGGAGGGTGAAAGACATCGAGCACTCCTAGCTTGGAGAAAAGAAGATGGTGTTGACTAACTTCCAAACCTTTTGTAAGAAGGTCTGCAAGTTGAGACTGTGTGGCAATGTAGTTGGTCTCAATAAGTCCTTCATTTACTTTTTCCCGAACAAAGTGACAATCAATATCTATATGTTTGGTACGCTCATGGAAAGTGGGGTTTGCAGGAATCTGGATGGCTGCTTTGCTATCACAGTGAAGTTGAATTGGTTTGGAAACTACCACACTTATGTCTTGCAGTATGTATAATCCTTCCTTTTCTTTACCAATCCCCAGAACCTTCCCATTGAAGAGCCCCTGGAATACACAAAAATCAGGAAAGAACAAAGCCACACAATAAAGTTGTTTGGTTATCTTGGACACTGAAAGTAGATTAAACTTGAAATCTGGCACATAAAGTACATTCTCAAGCTTGTAGCTTCCCAAAATCACTGGATCTCCTATACTTGTGATTTCTACTCTACCACCTGTGGGAACCTGCACTCTATTGTTATTCTGATTTCTTAAGGTTCTAAAGGTGGTTAGTAACTCCTTGTATGGTATAATGTGGTGAGTTACCCCTGTATCTATTATCCATTCACAATCAAAGTCATTGGATAGCAGTGAGGTCATACCTGCCATGTTACCTGTTATGTTATCTGCATTATCACTAGATGTTGGTTTGTTCAACATGTTCAGTATCTGCTTGTATTGTTGTTCAGTGAAGAAGTGACCTTGTGTTTATGATGTCTTCATGCTTTCTCCTGCTACTATGGAATTAGCATAAGGTCTGAATCCACTAGTTTGTGATCCTTTCTTTTTTTCTTTTAAAATCATATGGGTAACCAACAATTTTGTAACAATTTTCCTTCAAATGTCCCTTATAACCACAATTCTCACAGATTATACCAACTCCAGGCCTTTTAAGTTTAGGACCCTGGTAAGTTCTCCCTGCCAACATTGTCAATGGCTCCTTGTTAACATCTACTACACCTAACAATTTTTGGCTCTCCTCCTGAGAAACAGTTGCATAGGCTTCATTTACAGACACTATAGGTCTCCTTGCAAGTAGATTACTTCTTAGATTACTGTAGGATTCATTAAATCCCATAAGGAACTGCAGCAACCTTTGTGATCTCCAATGGACTACATAAGGCAGGGATTCTTTACAATCACAGGAAGGAAGTGGGGCTAAGACACTTAACTCATCCCAACAATCCTTCGTTTTAGAGTAATACGAAGTAACAGACTCAGTTCCTTGCCTCAAAGTGGCAATTTTAGTTCACAAATGAAATATCCTAGTTAAATTCGATCTATCAAATCTCTATTCAAATTCACTCCATACCTTCTTAGCATTAGACGCATACACAATACTGGCCATTAATTCCTCCGCAACAGTGCTTCCTATCCATGACAGAACAATAGCATTGCACTTCTCCCATTGCTCCGCTAATTCACCCTTGTACATGCTTTTAACATAGGTTCCGTCCACAAAACCTAATTTTCCTTTGCCTCGAAGAGTTAATTTCATTGCTCTACTCCACAAAGTGTAATTGTTTGGTTATGTGAGCTTCAGCTGTATTAGGATAAACCTAGGCGAATCTCCAGGTTGAAGATGTAGCGGAAGTAACTTCATTTCCTGCCATTTTTGGTGAAAAAACGAGCTTCACGATCCTCTGCAATCAGCCAGGAAACTACACAAATTATGCTTTGTGTTCTTCTGTAGGTCTCGATCTCTTTCAGTGCATGTGTTGTCCTTAATTCACCCGCTCTGATACCATGTTGAATTGAGCCATACGATCTGAGTGATTAGGGATTTCTTAGAGAGAAATTGAGTAGACGAGGAAGAAGAAACTGTTTTATTCATCTAGCAATTGAAAGTTGATACACAGCTTATATACAGACCTCTCTCAGCTCACACACGTGCACATCACATGACCTTTTAACTAACTCTAAAATTGATTTTAACTAATAACTATGCCAGCTAATCATAGTTAGTGCTAGTGCTAACAGCTAATGTTCTGCACCACTCCACTTCTGCTTCATCACTCCACTTCTCTATATTTCATTAATTTTGCCAGAGAATCCACAGCTGCATTTTCTTCCCATTAAGATGTGCTAGGAAATTCGACTCTCCAACTACTCCATTAATAACATACAATCATGAAAATATTAAAATATGTTCTTGAGTTACCATTAATAAATTCAATTATATCAGTCGAATTTACTTTCACTTTCAGAGATTGCGGACCTCGATCAAGCAATTCAACACTTGTGTGGTTTGCCATGGTAATACTAGAGTAATACTCTATTGCACCCGGTCTCCGCTACTATTTCTGACTACTCCACCTAGACCACTTTTTGCTAGTTTTATAAGAAGCAGAACCATAGTATTAAGTTTGAAATAACTTTAATTTATTCCAAAGGTCCTTTAGAAAAAGGCTATAAAAACAGTTCAGGAAAAATATGCATGGTTCTTTCTATAAGCCATCCCAAGTCGTTATTTTTTACTTCAATTTTTAGGTTTTTCTTTAAATAATTTTAGATATACACTAAATGTGTAAGAGCCAAACTTTTCTAATAGAACGATAATAACTAGTTTCATCATGGAAAATTTTGTAAATTTCCTTAACTCAACAAAAAACATAGGAAGTTTCTACAAATTAACGCAGTCCTCAAGGGAGACCTTACACAATTTATAGGAACTTTTCTCCTAGTTATTTCCAAGTTTTTTTTTTCTTTTCTTATTTTTCATAATTTTTTTATCTCATGCAAATTGAATTTACTAGTACTGTTGAGAAAATAACAGAAATTTTAAAGGTAGATGTCACAATATAATTTTGAGCTTTTGTTGAATGGCTAATACTGAAATTTCAAACTATCTAGGTTAGAAATTATAACCTACGTAGTTTACCTAACGATTGTCTAGCTAATAGAATCCTTCAACAGAAAACTATAGTACTAATTCTTTATAAAATTTGGGTTGATAGGAAAATAGGGAAGTTTGAAATTGTTAACTTCAAATTATGTTATGACGTTATCTTCATATATGTAATATTAGGTGGCGTGGCTGCATTTAAAACTGTCAAATCTGTAGGCTCAAGCAAGTTGCTCAGAAAAACCAAAAAACAAGTGCACAATTAACACGCTAAAGAAAATTTCTAAGTAATTCATTTGGTGACTGTTGACTCAGACCAAGTCTCCCTTGACGCCTCATTCATAGTACTTGCATTATATTCTAAATATAAATACTTCCAAAATCTGAACGATAATTCGCATATTTCACAACTACACAGTATTTTTCGTCTTTCATTTTCCTCTCGTTGCTATCTTAAGTTTTAAGAATATTCAAAAAACATTCAAGTTTTTTTAAGTTATGAATCCCTCAGCTCCAAGTTATGATTATGTTTCAAAATCTCCACTGCCTGATTACGGCGAAAAGCCGACAACTGGAATCCCTGTGGCAGCAGCGAGCTATGCTCCTCAGTTTCAAGCTAATCATAATCCTGGAACTTGGTCCACTGGACTCTGTGACTGTTTCTCCGATGTCTCTAACTGTACGTTGTTTTTCTCATTTTTTTTTTTTTTTTGCATATTTGCGTGATTTTTTTCCATGTATGATGATGATGTTATTATTGGAATTCTTTTCCTAAGTTTCTGATTATTTTTTCCAGGTTGCATAACTTGCTGGTGTCCCTGTATTACATTTGGACAGATTGCAGAGATCGTCGACAAAGGAACAACTTGTAAGCAACAGTAAATTAAACCACTAGGAGTAACAGTTATTTTGTTTGTCGTTTTTCCCCCAAAAATGGGCAATATGAATTTATCATTTGTCATTATTATTAATTTCAAAGTTACCTGACGGATTATACTAAAGTTCTATGCACTGTAATACGAAACATATCTGCATAACAAGGCCACGAAAAATATATGTGTGTTTCATATAAAGTAAATGCTTCTAAATTATAGTACAATATAAAAGTTTTTATGTGCTTCGCTAGCATTTATCTCTTTTACTGTATATATAGCACTAAAATTCGTTAAATATTTAACCTTACTTCATATATCATGGATTAACAAAATAGATTGAAGTGAGCTCTTCAATTCTAGGGAATGATGCGAAAAAGAATGAAAACTTTGGTAGAAAAAAATAGAAGAAAAATAAACCAAAAGAATAAATAATTGAGTATGATATCTTCTTCTGCTTTTCTTTTTGTTTTTCTGACAAAAATGATGCTGTCTAGTGGGGGAGCTATCCTTGTCCATGGGCTGTCAATCAATTGACATCTCTTAACTGAAAAAATTTCCTATGTAAATAGATAAAAATTACCCCATCCTTCTCATTTTAGATTAGATAGTTTGATTCGACACGGAGTTTAAGAAAAAAGAACAAGACTTTTGAAACTTGTGATCTTAAAAGTTTAAGGGGTAAAAAGTTTGTGGGACCATGACATTTGTGTAGCTATAAAAACTTCTCATTAAGGGTAAATGAGTAAAATGAAAGAGTTTAAAGTTGAATTATTTCTAAATTTAGAAATGTGTCATTTGTTTTGGAACAGACTAAAAAGGAAAGTACCTCATCTAATATAAAACGGAGGGACTACACACTAAGGGGTCGTTTGGTAGGGCGTATAAGAATAATGCTAAATAAGGTACATTAGTAATGCATGAGTTAGTAATGCAAACATTAGTTATACAGGGAATATTTCTTATGCATTGTTTGGTGTGGTATTAAAAATTAAAATGCATTGCATAATTTTTAAGAAATTTAATTGTTTACCAAAATGCCCTCCATATTCTATAACTTAAGGCACTTTAAGGATAATTTTGTCTTTAACTATGCTACTGCATGCATTAATAGCCTTTGTATAGCTAATGTCATGATTTTCTATGCATTAGCTATACATAAGATAATACCAAATAGAGTGTATAACTAATATAACTAATGCTTGTATTAGTTATACATTGGTTAAAAAGTGTATCAAACAAAGCATTACTAATACACAAAGCTAATGCATGCATTATTTTCTCTAGCACACTCTACCAAACGACCTCTAATTCTCTTAACTTCATCGTGTACTCCCTCCGTTCCAATTTATGTGAACCTCTTTGACTGGGGATGAAGTTTAAGAAAAAATGAAACTTTTGGAATTTGTGATCCTAAACAAGTCAAGAAGGGGCCAAAAATATTTGTGGGGTTCTAAAAGCTTTTCATTAAGGGTAAAATTGTAAGTTTAAGCTAAATTGTTACCAAATTTAAAAATGGGTCATTCTTTTTTAAACAGACCAAAAAAGAAATAGGTTCACGTAAAGTGGAACAGAGAGAGTATTTACTTTTTATATTTCGACTCCCCTTATTAAACTCTGACTCCGCGACTAATTGTGATGGTGTTGGTTGCAGCTTGTGGGGCAAGTGGAGCTATTTATTTCCTAATAGAAGCATTAACAGGGTGTGGATGCATCTATTCATGCTTCTATCGCACAAAGATGAGGAAACAATACATGTTGCCAGAGAGCAGTTGTGGAGACTGTATGCTTCATTTCTGCTGTGAATGCTGTGCTTTGTGTCAAGAGTACCGTGAGCTTAAACACCGTGGCTTTGACATGTCTATTGGTAAATATTCCTCCACCAAAGCAAAATCTGTATTTCATTTTTATTTGACTTTTTCTTCTTTTTACTTTCTTCAAAAAAGGAATGGCATATATTTTCAATTCTTTAGTGACATGTTCTTATATCCATAGAAATATCATAATATCTTTAAGATAATATATTTTAAGGATATACTTTTGGTGAATTTGTCAAAAATCTATTTCATTTCTTTCTTATACTTTGTAGGCGGCCGTGAAACGACCACTATATCTTCATGTTAAAAAAAGAATGGCATCATATTTCAATTATTTTTTTAATTTAAACTTCTCCCTTTACATGTAGTGGCTTAGCTTGTTCATATATTCATAGAAATATCACGGTAAGTTTAAGACTATATGTTTTAAGAATATACTTTTGGTATGTGTATCAAAAACAATTTTCCTTTTTTTTCTTTTCTTAAACAACGCATTCAGTCAAACAACTACTGTATCTTCTTATTAATATCTAAAATTGATGAGATACTTATCGTTCTTGTTTGACAACATACAGGTTGGCAGGCAAATATGGAGAACCAAAACAAAGGAATCGGGATGGCTCCGGTAGTTCAAGGAGGAATGACTCGATAAATGGATAGCTTCCTTTTGACTTGTTCAGTGTGATATATTAATGCTCTCTTTTTGTCGTTTTTCTTTTACTTATTGGGGGAGGATATTAGTTCCAAGATGTAATATTGGTTGTCGAGTGATGTATAATATGAATATTTTCTTTACTGTTCTTCTTTTTCCTTATGTCTTTTATATTCTTTTTCACTTTCTATGATAATCTTCTTTACTGAATACTTGTAAGATTTGTACTACTACCTATCTTTTGGTGTGGATGAACAATAACTTTCCCGGGTGGTATTGTAGCTATTAGTTGACCTAACATTTTTCTCACTGCACGAAGAAATTGTTTCAAGAATTCGCAATTAAAAAGTACGTAATAAGAATAATCAATAATTGCAAACGTAATAACAACAATCAAAAGGAGCTGCTATTGGAAAAGAAAATATTATTGCAGGAATTGAAGAACGACTGGGACTGTTATAGTCACTACAGGAAATCATAGCTACGACGATATTTAATTAATGACATATATAATAAATGTCAGAAAAAGACCAATTTTGTGACATTTTTTAAGAAACATCGTAAAATGAGTGACATTTAATAAGAAATGACAGAACTGTTAAGACATTTAAGTAAAAATGTCACATATTCATGAGTATTTACTGACATTTACGCTAATGAAGGAAATTTTCCTACTTTTTAATTTTTAATCGTTACAAATTGAAACTAAAAACATTAAGGAAGGCCTGTCTACTGAAACCCTACCAATCTCTTCCCATCCTCAACCCCCAAATCACGATGCCAATGTTTTATATTCACAAAATTGTCAAGGTCCCCGTGAAACCGTAGCCGCCTACTACTAATTTTCTGTTGAACTAACTTCGTATATCTATCTGGCACTATCAATCTCTTGAAGTTTGGAGTTGCGATCGGTTAGCGAATAAGCCAATCCCAGCGTGACGCAGAAAATCGAAAGGGGAGATGACCAGGTTGGTGTCTAGAACTCTAAACGTGACAGAAGTTTACCAAAATTTAGGCATTTGGTTGAGCGTCATATTTAATCTATTCTCTAGTATTTAGATTCTACTACTGATAATTCTCAGACTTTTGGTTCATTTTATTAAGGTTCAGGTTAGGGTTATTCATTTGTGATTTATGTTCTATTTTGTTCATTGGATTGAATTTCCAGTTAAATGCCTTTAACAGGGTTGCAATCTTTTCTCATATCTTCGTTCTATTCCATTCCTACCAACTGTTTGAGTGAATGCCTTAGAGGATTAGATTATTGACATTGTTTGGGTGTTCAATTTGTTCTTACTATTGCAGAACCCTGAAATCCATTAACCACATATGGCATACTGATGCATAGTCGATGCAAAAGGTAAATGAGTTACTAAATTATAGGGCTATCCTTTTCACTACTACATTGCGTGATGCTATTTCCAACAGGATATGAACATACAGTCACTTATCTTCTGTTAAGAGTTGTTTGGTTGTGCTTGATGGTGACTCTAATCCAAACAACACGGCAGATTGGATTGGAAAAGAAGCTTGTGGATACTTGTTCGTGAGGGAAAAGGTAAAGGCCATTATGATTATGTGTTTGATAATTTAGATAGTAGATGGTGTAAGGTATCTTAAGATATCAACTTTATCGACAATTCAAGTTGGATAAGGAACATTGCCATTAATGTTGGGACTGAAATTGATCTATATATCATTCTGACGAATTGAAGAGCAAAGAAGGATTTAGCAAGCCTTTACAATGATACTAGAGATTGTTAGTTCCTCTTCCGCACCACACTAATATTTTCATGTTATTTCTCTTTGCTTTAGCTTATAGAAAGCACTGTCCACCATTCTTGGGACATTGAAATTTGGAAGTTAGGAAAAGATTGCCAAAGATGTTTTGTCACCTAAACAGCTGGCTGAGAAGGGGATATCATCTGTCAAACACTTCCTACATTTGTATGTAATTCCATCTTTGTTAGTGGAGTTATCTTTTGCATAAGCTTATAATGCCAAATTGATACATTGCTTTTGAGATTCTAATGTTGAATTGGTTTTTAATCACGTTGCTCTTGCAGAAGGTAGCCGCATGACTTTATATACATTTTCAACATATCTTACGAGGTATAATCACGTTGTTATTTTTGCTACTTAGTAGTAATTTCCTAAACAAGTTTGGTGATGATTCTTTCCTTTTTTGATTTCAGTTCTTGGAATACTTTAAAAGAAAGCGAGAGCAACTAATGTAAAGGAATGGTTGACTTGGGGAAAACATGGAAACTAAAGCTTTTTCATCAGAAGGACGATATTAAAGCTATGACCAGCGTAGATTGTTTTGGACGTTTAAGGGAAAAGTTATTTAATTGTATGTTGAAGTAACTTATAGTTGGTTCAAATTCTTTGTAGTGTACTGGAAAGTATTGAAATAGGAATGGATGTTATTGTGAATAAATTATTGTTAATCTATTATTTTCTTTAATATAAATATGTCTTTCATTTAATCTTTAGCCATGACTAATATAATTATTTTCACATTCACATTATAAGTCAGAAACTATAAATAATTAAACGACATTTATATATATGTCGCAAACAAGATAGGTTAAGTACCCAAATTAGTGACATTGAATAAATGCCGTCACTAAATGTCACAAATTATTTGCCGACATTAATCTAAGTGTCAGAAAAAAAACGACATTGAACGTTCCGACATTTGATTTAAGTGTAAAATAAATGTCAGTAAATGATTTTGTGACATTTATGTTACTTATACCGACATTTATTAAATGTCGTCGTATGTCATATTTCTTGTAGTGAGTATTCCTCTTTATCCTTAAGGTACTTACGCTCTCACTATTTTGTTGCTAGGTGTAGGCATGTCAAGCCCAAAATTTGGGTGGGAAATGATTGAAACTCCGGTATTAACTCTCTGTATCTTTGATAGCTAGTTTAATTAAGGGATTTTTTCGTTTTCATATACTTTTTCAAATTTTATTATAAAAAATATTCATGTTTAGTAATTTATCCGACCTAAACAACTTTTACCTATAAAATATATACATTTGTTTAAACTAGAATCCTTTCAGTTGTAGTCTTCCTTATTTAGACACGGAATTTTTGGGATTGCGTATATCTCTTCGGAGATTTTACCGACGCAATCATCACAACTTAATCAAGCCATTGTATTTGTAGATTCCTGCTATAACGCTGATTTCTCTGATAATCAAATTATATTCTCTGGTTTTCTCTCTTTCCTCTGGTTTTCCATAATCGAAGGTTTTGAAAAACAAATTGCAAACAATTAGCTATAATTGTATTGAAATTCGCGACATAATGTCAAAATTAGTGATTATGCTTCAGCTAAATGGTCACCGGTATAGCGTTGGGAGATATAAAAACTTTGATGTTGATGGAATTGTAGTCAATGAATATTCAAATTATAGTCAATTGCACTCCGCAATTGCAGAGCATCTAATGATCTATACCTCTTCAAAAATTATTGAAATCAAATACACTGTCAACTGCAATTCTCCTCCAATGGAAATTCGGGACGATATGGGAGTTCGAGTATATATGGAGAAGAAAAGGGAAAACAAAAACTTAGGAATGTATCCGCTGTGTATAACAGTGCGTGATTTTGATATGGGATGCAGTATCTCAAATTCGAGCACAATTGCAGGTTTGCTATATTTTTTTAGTGCTAATATTTTGTCAATTTCACGTGTTTTACAATTTTTGCAACTTATCTACATTATATCTACATTATTTCCAATGCAGAAATAATGTAGAATATAATTTCACGTGTTCTACAATTTTTCTACAATTTTTCTACAATAATACTACATAACAATTGTAGTACAACTGTTATATCTCTTCAAGTATTCTGTTAAATACATAATACATAAATATACAGAGGTCTGAATTGAAGATTCTTTTAATTGAGTGCAGGTTCATCTCATTGTCGTATGTCTAACGTAGTACAATTGTCAAGCAATTGTAACACAATTGGAGAAGTATCAGGAACAGTGAAGTTGATTGATAGGCCAACATCTCCAGAAATTGTGGAATATGAAAGTATCATCATAAGAGAACATTCCTCAAATGTTATTGAAGTAGGCCAAGTTTACCAAGACAAGCAAACAATTGTCAGCGATGACACCAGAAGCTGTAATGCTTCAGCAATTCTCACAAGTCCAATTGTAGTTCGTTAACCACCCGAAATCCATACGAGGCCCCCGGAATCCTCAAACACGATACGAACATAGTCTAGCCTTCAAATCACATCAAATAACGCTAAAAACACGAATCACATCCCAATTTAAGCTTAATAAACTTTAAAACTTCAAACTTCTACAACTGATGCCGAAACCTGTCAAAACATGTGATGACCCAAAAGGGTCATCTCGTGTTTTAGAACCCAATTAGGGGTTCCGAGGCCTTCAAGACCTCATTCTCTTTCTACTCGATTTGCGTGCGCAGTCAGGGCACGCTTACAGAAAGCGCCTTTATGTGAAAATTTGAGGAAAATGCTAATTTTGCCCTTAAAATTGAATTAAGCTGACTTCGATCAATATTATGGGTAAACGGACCCGGACCCATGATTTGACGGTCCCGGAGGGTCCGTAGAAAAATATGGGACTTGGGCGTATGCCCGAAATTGAATTTCAAGGTCCCTAGACCGAGAAATGAATTTTTGAAGAAAATTGTTTAACTGGAAATATAATGGTTTTTAGAAATTTAACAATAATTTATTTTGATGGTATCGAGCCCGTATTTTGGTTCCAGAGCCCGGTGCAAGTTTGATACTGTATTTAAGTTACATTTGTGAAATTTGGTAAGAAACGGAGTTTATATGACGTGATTCGGACCCTCGGTTGTGGAAATAGAAACGTTAAGAGTTTTTCAGATTTTCATTGATTTTGATGCTAAATTCATAGTTCTAGGTTTATTTTGGCAAAGTGATCGCGCGAGCAAGTCCGTATGATATTTTTAGACTTGTATGATTGTTTGTTTTGGAGGCCCGAGAGCTCGGGTGAGTTTTGGATAGGCTACAGATGTTGTAGACTTAGAAAATCTGGTATTTTTGCTGCAGTAGCTATTCTGGTGTGTCCTTCTTCACGTTCGCGAAGCTACTCTCGCGAACGCGAAGGGAGGGCTGGTCGGCTGAATTTTTCTTTTTCGCGAACACGAAGGCCTGTTCGCGAACGCGGAGTGATTGGGGCTTTACCCTTTACAAACACGACCGGCACATTGCGAACGCAAAGCATTAGGGACCTGGGGGAAGGGTCAGACTTCCTTCTACGTGAACGCGAGCATGGGCTCGCGAACGCGAAGGCCAAGGGGGTAAATCCTTCGCGAACGTGATGGGGGTTTCGCAATCGTGTAAGCCTAGCAAGGCAGCTCTTCGCGAACGCGACAGTGTCCTCGCGAATGCGATGAACACTGTCACCCAGTTCATAAACTATCCCAAATAGGGACTTAGGTCATTGTTTCAAATTTTCAAAAGCTAAACGGCCTAGGGGCGATTTTCAAAAGACAGTTTTTTCCCCAAAGTGTTGGTAAGTGATTCTAAACCATTTTATATCAATTACCCATTTGTATTTCATCAACTTTCAACCTAAAATCTTGTTCTTTAAGGGTAGAAATTAGGGATTTTGGGAGAATTGGGAATTTTACAAATTTGGGAATTTAGACCTCAATTTGGGGCCGAATTCCAAAATTAATTGCATATCCGGGCTCGAGGGTGAATGGGTAATCGGGTTTTGGTCTGAACTTTGATTTTTGACCAAGCGAGCCCGGGGTCGGGTTTTGACTTTTTGGAAAGAATGTTGGGAAATCTATAATTTTTCATTTGAATTGATTTCTTTGGCTTCAATTAATGTTAATAAGTTAATGATGAATAGATTCGGGCAGATTGGAAGTGGAAACTAAGGAGAAAACGGTATTTGAGGCTTGAGTTTGGCCGTGGAATCTAGGTAAGTGTTGTGGCTAACCTTAGCTTCAGGGATTAGGTATTGTTTGCCCTATTTTCTACTTGTTAGTTATTAGTAAGACGTATTGGTGTGGTGATGTCACGATCCAAACCAATGGGCCGTGACAGGCACCCGGTACCTTACTCAACTGAGTATCAATGTAACGTATCTTTCATATCATTCTATTATAGATAAATAAATTGGAGTAAAGCATGAGGGAATACAAACTTATACATATGAAGTACAGGCTTATAAGACCAAAATAACCACTCCTGTACTGAACATAGGCCAATAAGGCCATACAATCTTTTACGTACATGACATTTGTCTACAAGCCTCTAAGAATACATAATTTTCATAAAGGTCAGGACAGAGTCCCTCCATACCAAACAATACACGTCTAAATCATACTAACCAAACAAGCAACTCCGAAGCAAATGGAGCGCACCAACATCTTCCGCTGAGCTGATAACCTACTTGGAGGGTACTTGGTATATCTATCGCTTCGGGCATGAAACGCAGCATCCCCGGGAAAAAGGGACGTCAGTACGAATAATGTACCGAGTATGTAAGGCACATAAATAAGTACATAACACACATGGAAGAAATATAGAGTAAATAACTCAACCTGTAAGTGTGGATAACTTTGTAAATCATGAAATACTTATAGTTTCATACATATGCATATGAATGTCATGTCGTGCATAGGTACATGTGTCTATAATATCATCAAGCCTCTAAGGGCATCCCAACATATCATCTCGGCAACTGTGGGCAAATCATCAACGTATACCAGCTGATCAGGTGGTGGTGCGTATATAACGCTGTAACCTTTTCCCATATCCCATATACATATATATGCGTATATAACGTCGTCTGGTTATGAGTCAATGTACATGTATAAATGAATGCGACGCATGAGAAGTATGTCAATAAAATCTCTCGGAACGTCATAAGACCATTATACCTCTGATTAATATCATGAAACAACTTTATCAACTTACGTATTTTTGAGATCTATGAACATGCGATAGAATAATAAGACATTTGGGAATTCAAGAACATAGGCACCTCTAATATTTCTATGAATAGAGTCATTTATGGAAGTTGTGCATTTACTCGTTTCGTTTGTATCGTATGGATCATGCCAAAAGGAAAGAAGGGATAACCTTAATATACCTGTATGATCTCTTCCTTATTGCTCAACACAACTTCTTGCATCTTGGACAGAAGCTACAACTCAAAACTCCATCTCAACTTAGCTCACAATAGCCATCAATCACACCACAATATCATAGAAGTATTCTCCTGTAGTCTTTAACACATTTGATGAGGATTTGTGTTGATTTCTCTTAAGTTTAGTTCTTGGAACCTTGGACAAGTTCTTGGAGAGTTTGAGAGTGTTTTGCAGTAGTTAATCTCTGGATATTGACGAAATATAATGGATAAAGACAACTTATAAGCCCACCGCCTCAATTTTCCTAGCAAGTGGGT